GAGGAAGATGCTATATACTCTACTTTGAGTAGAATGCAATTATGAGATATTTTAGTCTTCACATAGCATCTACTATTAATGTTTGCTATTTTCCCATCAAAGAAAAGTCAAAAATCTAAAGAGGTTAAAAACAAAACTCAGGCTGGGCACAGTGGCTCACGCCTGTAATTCCAACACTTTGGAGGGCTGAGGTAGGTGGATCACCTGAGGTCAGGAGCTCGAGACCAGCCTGACCAACTTGGAGAAACCACGTCTCTACTACAAAATACAAAATTAGCCAGGTACAGTGGCTTACGCCTATAAACCCAGCACTTTGGGAGGCTGAGGCAGGCAGATCACCCCAGGTTGGAAGTTCGAGACCAGCCTGACCAACATGGAGAAACCCTGTCTCTACTAAAAATACAAAATTAGCCAGGTGTGGCGGCCCATGCCTGTAATCACAGCTACTTGGGAGGCTGAGGCAGGAGAATAGCTTGAACCCAGGAGGCAGAGGTTGTGGTGAGCCAAGATCCTGCCATTGCACTCCAGCATGGGCAACAAGAGTGAAACTCTGTCTCAAAAAAAAAAATTAGCCAAGTGTGGTGGTGCATGCCTGTAATCCCAGCTACTTGGGAGGCTGAGGCAGGAGAATCTCTTGAACCCAGGAGGCAGAGGTTGCAGTAAGCCAAGATCACATTACATTCCAGCCTGGACAACAAGAATGAAACTCTCCGACTCAAAAAATAAAATAAAACTCAAAAAGTAAACAAAAGATTCTGGCTTTTAACATGAGAGAACAGGAGAGACACATTTAAGGTGTATATAAGTGTTCAGGATAATGAGTATAAGAAATTTAGTTTGTAACAGAACTATCAACATAAAGAGTCAAGGCTGGACAGGCTGCAAAAGAAAACCATGACTATTATATCCTTAAAATTCCATTAAAACGAAAGAGAGTTGAGCTCTCTTTATACTTAAAAAAATTATTTTTAGTTTATTTACTGAATGCTTCCAGAGACCTGGAAGAAATCTGCAGTAGGCTTGGTGGGAGATTAAATCCTACTCTATGGAAATAAACTTTAAAATTCAGCAGAACTGAGCAACAAGCTGCATGATGGTATAAGGTGACCATCTAATCTTTGGCACATTAACTGATCTCTCCTTAAAAACAATACAAAGACATGCCCCAAGGTTTTATAGGGGAATGCATGCAGGTATATAAATAGGCCATCATACTGTACATGCTTTGAAGTTCACATCACTGCTTACATAGATTGTGAACGTCTTCTTAGAAAAAATTCTTAGGGCTGGACATGGTGGCTCACACCTCTAATCCTAGCACTTTGGGAGGCTAAAGTGAGAGGATCACTTGAACCCAGGAACTCAATACTGGCCTGGGAAACATGAGCAGACCTTATCTCTACAAAAAATAGAAAACTTAGCCAGGTGTGGTGATTAGCATCTGTAGTCCTAGCTATCAGGAGACTAAGGTGGGATGATGGCTTGAGCCAGGGAGGTTGAGGCTGCAGTGAACTGTGATCACGCCACTGCATGCCATCCTGGGTGACAGAGGGAGACCTCATTTCAAAATTTTTAAAAAAGCAAAAGTTCTTAGAATTTAGATTGGAGAAAGCACTCATATAACTTTAGGAAATGGCAGAGAATGCAACATTGTCCTATAATTTCCCACTAGAAAAACCATCTAAGGATGATGATGTTCATCCCTCTTAAGCACCAAGAGCAGAGAGCTATGCCCCCAGCTGTAAGGAAACGAGTTGCTCACTGAGACTCTCAGAGCTCACTCTTTTCCTGAGTATTTAGGCTGGGCAAACATTTAGAATTGGAATCGGGATAAACTAAGCTGTGTATGAGTCAGTCTACAGGGGAGGCACAGCCTCTATCTGAAAGCAAAATGCTTGTTGGCACAATTCTAAAAGTACAATTGAAGCATTAAATGCCTACACCATGTTGAATGCTGAGTATTATTTATTCTGACCAACAAAGACCACAAAAAAGCTAAAAGCAGATAAAAAGATTAAAAATTTCAGACTCCTAAACCTGGGGCACTGGTTACATTGTTTACTTCGCGTCACTTATACAAAATTAAGATTTACTTTTCTGTGTTTTTTGTTGTTGTTGTTTTTAGAAAAAAAGCCTGCAACACTCGGTATTTCCAGGCAGTAACAAGTTTTACTTTTAATCACAACTAAGGAGGTATCTACACAAATTGTATCAAAAATAATTAACATTATAAATTTATTTAGATGAAAGTATCATATGCAATTACTTATAGTTTGAAACTGTTACAAAAAAAACTATAGTTAAGGCAGAAAATGCCACTATACTGACAAGTAGCCTGAAGTTTGGTGCCCTCTTATTTTCAATATGTGAGAAAGACCAATGAAAAGCAAATCACTTTTAGTAAATCTTAACCTGGAATTACCGGGTTATTATAAAATATCCAAGAAATATTTTTTAAAATGAAAAGGCATTTTTTTTTCTTTCCTCAGTTATTTCTCAGGGAATTTGTAAAGAAAATAAACGAAAAGCACTGTTTTAACTGTATCTTTACTCAAGGCTAGTTGTTGATAGCAAACAATTGGTAATTGTTTTGAGACACCCACTCTTTTTAACTACAAAGACACTTGACCTTAACTTAAAATACAAAATGGAGCCAATCCCCACTATTCCTAAGTCTGATAATTTGAATCTATAAAGTGGTATAACAAAAAGCCCCCAACTCGTTACTCAACAAATATTTTTGGATAAACGATTTTGGCAAAGCACCCCTGCCCAAGGAAGTCAGACCAGAAACTTTAAAAATCCTACAGAACATCCTAACTCGAGTTCAGGCTCCATACAGCACCTCACTGACCGAAACGGGTTTGCCTCTTTCGTTTCCAAGGGCCAAGTCTGCCCGGCTCTGGATGATAGGGACCCCCCAGGGGCGACAAGGCGCTCGCGCCTCTGCCCGTCGTTCTGGGCCGACCTCTGCCCAGAACGACGGGCAAAGGCCGGGCCATGGGCGACGCGAGGGCCTGTCTCGAACTCACCGTGAAGCGCTGGTCGCCAATGCCGCCCACGGAGAAGCAGTGGTCGCCAGGGTTCACAGCCCCGGTTAGCACCTGGTGCAAATTCATGTCGGCGCCCTAGTCCTGCAACGGACACCGCGTCCAGCTCATGCCCCGGGTCAGCCGCCGCTTCCCTCCCTCCTTCCCTCAGGGGCGGCGGCCGCTGTTTGGCTGCGACTGCAGAAACGACAGGCGCCCGGAGCTGGAACAGCTCAGCTGGGGCCCGCGGTTCATCCCGAGCCCAGGAGGGCGAGGCCCGGAGGGGGCGGGTCGGCGAGCGGGCGGAGCGCCGCGCTCCTCGGCGCACCTGTCACTGACCGCGCCGGCCCAGGTGAAGATCGGGGTCCCCTCACCAGCCACGACCCGGGGCCGACTCACCGGCCAGGAAGGCCGCGCTGTCTACACACTTCCTCTGGGCCTCAGGCAGCCGCTCCTGACCTAGCCCAAGTGGCGCAGGCAGCACGCGCTCGCACTCCCCACCTGACCTGTCCCTTCCCGGCTCCGGTGCCCGCCACCCCCACAGTCCTCTGCTGCTCACTACGCGTCTCTGGAGCCCTTAGGCGGAAATATCGCGAGACTTCGCTCGGCGAAGTTGGTACTGTGGTAAAGGATTCACTTTTTTACCGCAGCATACATATCGGCAAGTAAATATAAAAACGCCTCTTCTAGTTAGGAACTGGCCAATCCCGACCCCCGGTCCACCTAGGGCTCCGCCCACCACCGCGGATAAGCCAATCTCTTTGAGGCTTGTGCAGGGGAACGCCGTGCGTTTGAGCTTGAACATAATAAGCCTGGTAGAAGCCTGATGAACCCAGAATGAGTGAGATGTGTCAAATTGTGCTTTAGGTTAAGGGCTTAATCTAACTATGGGTCTGAACACTTGAAGGGGAGAAGTGCATTGTAAATAGTGTTGCAATTTCCTCAGTTCTAGTAGGACTACAAGTCCCAACATGCACCGTTCCCCGGGGTGGCCCTAGTGTAAGTACATGTGACCCTTGAAACGTCTACGTTAGCAGCTTAATGGTTTCTCCAGACTTGCGCTTGTTTCGAGGTCACTAAACAGGATGGTTTTTGAAAGGCTCGAACATTGGACAAGTAGTAAAGTGGTATTTTCTTAGCCTAAGTTTATCTTAACACGTTTTGAAATAATGCTGGTAATAACAACATACCAGCCTTGAATTGAGCGCTTGTTTTGGAAAAAAACATAAGAATTCCAGAATCAACAGTGTCACAGCTACAAACTGTGAGATGTCTCATTGTATTTTGACACAAGTTTTGTAATATAATTGACAAACATCTATTTATTTGTTTTCCCCTGTATGCGTAAGCCTCTTCCGGATAGAGAGGAACAGGACACACTCTGTCCCTAATGTCTAGCACTGCGCCAGTCCCACCCAGTTCAAGATGTTCAGTAAATGTTACATAAATGTGTATAGAAACCCTCTAGATAGGCCAGGTGCGGTGGCTCGCGCCTGTAATCCCAGCACTTTGGTAGGCTGAGGCGGACAGATCACCTGAGGTCAGGAGTTCGAGACCAGCCTGGCTAACATGGTGAAACCCCGTTTCTACTAAAAATACAAAAAAGCCCGGCGTGGGGGTGCGCGCCTGTAATCCCCAGCTACCTGGGAGGCTGAGGTAGGAGAATAGCCTCCCCAGAAGGTGGAGATTTCAGTGAGCCAAGATCGTGCCATTACACTCCAGCTTGGGCAACAAGAGCAAAACTCCATCGCGCGCGCGCGCGCACACACACACACACACACACACACACACACACCTCTTCAAATAAAATGAGTGGTTTTTAGAATTTCACTAGTTTTTTATATGCTTTTGTTGCAGTAAAAAGACTTGAAACTATACTTGGGTGGGACAAGCATTACTAACTTTATTTTTTTTACTACATTTTTTGTAATGTACATTTACTTTGTCTTGCAATAGAAAGCTACTTACGGGATACTTTTGTAGTTCATAGTGTGATGATTGTGTGTTCACACTTGTATGAGATGTCCCTCCCTCAAACCTTGTTGTGCCACCCACACGTTACTCATCTGATATGGAAAAGGAAAACCCGAAACTAACAACAAAAAATAATAATTTCATTCTGTATTCCAGGCTTTTCATAAAATGAGGGACAAAAATTGTCTTTGCTTTTTAAAAGTAAACGACTTTTAAGGTCTAACGTATCTACCGTTTGACTTCTCTTTTATTATTTCAAATTTTACTTCACATGTCTTAAGTTAATTTTCTATTTTAGACCCTAAGTCAGGATTGTTGTATGTACTTGTGTGAGTCCCACCTAAATTCTGTGGCTGGCCCATAATTTGACATGTTTACTCATTCTATTTTGCCGGGTTGTTGGTTTTGAAAAGCATTACATGTAGTAGAATAAAAGAAACAGCAACAGAGTAGTTAGGGAATCTGAGATCTATTCCTGATTCTCAAAGTAACTAGCTGTGTGACCATGGAAAAGTCTGTTTAATTTTTAAGACTGACTTTCCTTATCTGTAAAATTAGGAACTTTAACTTAATTATTCACAGCATTTTGTTTAGCAAAGCCTTTTCTACAACTCTTTGCATCCGTTAGTGTTTATTTAAATTATTGGCCAAGTGCAGTGGCTCACACCGGTACTCCCAGCAATTTAGGAGGCTGTGGCAGAAGGTGAGCTCAGGAGTTCAAGACCAGCCTGGGCACCATTGCGAAACCGTGTCTCTATGAAAAATACAGACTGGGCAACAAAGGGAGACCTCCATCTCTACAAAAAAAAAAAAAAAGATTTAAAAAAATGAGCCACTTATGTTGGTGCATGCCTGTAGGCCAAGCTACTTGGGAGGCTGATGTGGGAGGATCGCTTGAGCCCAGGAGCTTGAGGCTGCAGTGAGCTGTGATGGTGCCACTGCATTTCAGCCTGGGTGACAGAGAAACACCCAGAAAAAAAATGAAGAGGGTGAGGTGGCTTGTGCCTATCATCCCAACACTTTGGGAGGCCAAATCAGGAGGTGAAGCCAAGAATTTGAGATCAGCCTGAGAAAAATTTGCCTACAGCAAAATAGGAGAAACATAGTGAGGCCTTGTTTTTATTTTTATTTTTAAACAAAATTCCCTTTGCCCCCACACTGCTGCTCCTCATAGATCATCTCCTAATGTCATAAAACTCCCCTAATAAGGTTCTGTGGAATCCTAAATCTATTCCTGATTTATTGTGCAACTTTGTCATGACTCTGACTTTATGGGAATATTAATAAGGTAAGAAGGTAGAGGAGGTGAAAGTAAATTTTAAGTGTTTACTCCTCATCCTCTCCTTCCTGTTTCCTTACTGCTACATTCCACTTGCTCACAGTCTCCACCTTCCTTCTACCTAAGCCCTACAAATCCACCTGCTAATCCAAGAAAACCAGAGAAGGGCCTGGTGCGGTAGTTAATGCTTGCAATCCCAGCACTTTGGGAGGCTGAGGCAGGAAGATCCCTGACCCCAGGAGTGAGCTATGTAACCCAGGTTACAGTGAGCTATGATCATGCTACTGTACTCTAACCTGGGCAATAGACCCTGTCTTTAAAAAAAAGAAAGAAAGAAAGAAATCCTGGAGAATTGTTGAGTCTAATTATCCCTTCAACTATAATTAAACTGTATCATTCCATCCTTTGAATGCTCACTGACAGTGTGCTTCTGTGGTTTTCATTTTTTTTTTTTTAATGGATTCTTGCTCTGTCACCAGGTTGGAGTGCAGTGGTGCAATCTTGGCTCACTGCAACATCCGCCTCCTGGGTTCAAGTGATTCTTCCACCTCAGCCTCCCGAGTAGCTGGGACCACAGGCGCATGCCACCATGCCTGGCTAATTTTTTTGTATTTTTATTAGAGACAGGGTTTCACTATGTTGGCCAGGATGGTCTCGAACTCTTGACCTCGTGATTGCCCACCTCAGCCTCCCAAAGTGCTAGGATTACAGGCGTGAGCCACCTGGCCTGGTTTTCTTTTTTAGTTTCTAAAAAAAAAATAAGAGAGGAAGAATGGCTCTACCAAAAAAAAAAAAAAAAAAAAAGGAAATCTTGCTGTGTGCATTGGCAGTAGTCCCAGGTACCCAAGAGGCTAAGGCAGGAGAATCAGTTGAATGCCCAGGAGTTCAAGTTCAGTCAAGGTAAAATAGTGACATCACATCTTTAAAAAACAAATAAAAAATTAAAAATAGGTAGAATAAAGGAAGATTTTTCTTGTATAATTTGCATTATTACTAGCAGCAAGATCTCTTACAAAACTGAAGTGCTATGTGGTTTCTGAGACTGACAGGCCAAAGATAAGTTATGTTGTCTTCAATACTCGTCTTCAAGTGGAGGGAGAATTTTATAAGAGTCAGAGGATAATGATAGTGTAAAGAAACCCAAACAGGCCAAATGTTGAGGATTTTTGAAAAGAAAAGGAGCATATAGGAAGCTAGCTTAGATTGCGAAATAGTCATGCCTCTTACCCACTCTTGATTTCATGAAATCCTTGTCATTACTCTCCTCCCCCACCCAAATGCACCAGTCTAAATCCCTATTCTCAGCCGGGCATGGTGGGATGCCCAGGCAGGCACTGTAATCCCAGCACTTTGGGAGGCCCAGGCAGGCAGATCACCCGAGGTCAAGAGTTTGAGACCAACATGGCAAAATTGCATCTCTACTAAAAAATACAAAAATTATTCAGGTGTGTTGGCAAGCACCTGTAGTCCTAGCTACTTGGGAGGCTGAGATAGGAAAATCACTTGAACCTGGGAAGCAGAGGTTGCAGTGATCCGAATCGCGCCACTGCACTCCACCCTGGACGACAGAGGGAGACCCTGTCTCAAAATAATACTGATAATTTCCTATTCTCCCAGGGCCTCTGTCACCAGAGCCACCTATAGGGGCTTCAGTCCCCACTGCCAACACCCAATAAATGAGGGGAGTTAGGAATAATGGAAATTCTTATTCTCATAACTCAGCCTAAATCAAGGGGAATATGTTGCTTGAATTTCACAAGCATTTTAACCTCATTACCTCATAAAAATAATATGAAGATCTCTATGCAATGAAGATGTTAGTAGCTCTGGAAACCTGCCTCTACCACCAAGAGCAACCTTGCCTACAGCAAAATTCATCAGGAATCCTATAGGTTAAATAGATATTTTATGGGGAGGCTGAGGCAGGCGAATTGCTTGAACCCAGGAGGTGGAGGTTGCAGTGAGCTGAGATTGCACCACTGCGCTACAGTCTGGCACCTGGCAACAGAGCAAGACTCTGTCTCAAAAAAAAAAAAAAAAAAAAAAAGATATTTTATAGCCAGGAGTAGTGTGGCACATGCGTATACTCCCAACTACTTTAGAGGCTAAGATAGGAGGAACATTGCAGCCTTTACCTCCTGGCAGTCTCAGGTGATCCTTCCGCCTCAGCCTTCCAAGTAGCTGGGACAACAGGTACATGCCACCATGCCCAGCAAGTTTTTGTATTTTTTGTAGTGATGGTGTTTTGGCCTGTTGCCCCAGCTGGTCTCGAACTCCTGGGCTAAAGCGATCCACCCACCTCAGCCTCCCAAAGTGCTGGATTACAGGCGTGAACCACCATGCTTGATCACATACTCTTTTTATATGAGAAATGTAAGCCCTTTAAATTATCAGGTCCAAAAAGGCATTAAAATGAGACAGAAATCATATCCCATCTCTCTCCTTGAACCATGTAATCTTCTCCTGAAACTGCTAGCGTGGTCAGGCACAGTGGTTCATGCCTGTAATCCCAGCACTTTGGGAGGCCGAGGCAGGCAGATCACCTGAGGTCAAGAGTTTGAGACCAGCCTGGCCAACATGGTGAAACCCCGTCTCTACTAAAAATACAAAAATTAGCTGGGGATGGTGGCACGTGCCTGTAATCCCAGCTACTCAGGAGGCTGAGGCAGGAGAATTGCCTGAGCCCAGGAGGCGGAGGTTGTGGTGAGCTGAGATCGAACCATTGCACTCTGGCGTGGGTAACAAGAGCCAAACTCCATCTCAAAAAAAAAAAAAAAAAAAAATTAGCCAGGCGTGGTGGCAGGTGCCTGTAATCCCAGCTACTTGGGAGGCTGAGGCAGAAGAATCACTTGAATTGGGAGGCGGAGGTTCTGGTGAGCCAAGATTGCACCACTGCACTCCAGCCTGGGTGACAGAGTGAGACTCCATCAAAGGAAGGAAGGAAGGAAGGAAGGAAGGAAGGAAGGACGGATGGAGGGAGGGAGGGAGGGAGGGAGGGAAGGAAGGAAGGAAGGAAGGAAGGAAGGAAGGACGGAAAGAAGGAAGAAAGGAGGGAGGGAGGGAGGAAGAAGGGAGGGAGGGAGGGAAGGAAGGAAGGAAGGAAGGAAGGAAGGAAGGAAGGAAGGAAACTGTTAGCTAATGCTACAAGTAACTTAAGTTAATCTAACAATGCCACATTCTGGACAGTGTAACCCACACAATGTAGCTCAACAATGTATAGCCAATCACTAATGAATGTTATTTCTGTGAACTAATGAGAATTCCTGACAAACAACAAACAACTTTGTATAAGCCCACTCCTTGTTCCCTTTTTGCCTTCAAAAATCTGCTTGTAACAAAAGTCTGAACAGAGTACTTCCCAAGACAATTTGGAAGTGTGTCCCAGGCAGCTGTTCTCTACTTTGGCCCAAATAATCTCTATATTAATTCTTTTCCTTTTTTTTTTTTTTTTTTTTTTAAATAAACACGGGGTTTCACCACGTTAGTCAGGCTGGTCTTGAACTCCCGATCTCAGGTGACCCACCCGCCTTGGCCTCCAAAGTGCTTGGATTACAGGCGTGAGCCACCACGCTTGGCCAACTCTATATTAATTCTGACTCAGATTCTTTTCTTTTCTTTTCTTTTCTTTTCTTTTCTTTTCTTTTCTTTTCTTTTCTTCTTCTTTTCTTCTTCTTTTCTTCTTCTTTTCTTCTTCTCTTCCTCTTCTCTTCTCTTCTCTTCTCTTCTCTTCTCTTCTCTTCTCTTCTCTTCTCTTTTTTGAGATGGAGTCTGGCTCTCTTGCCCAGGCTGGAGTGCAGTGGCGTGATCTCGACTCACTGC